GGTGAGGGGCGAGTTCCCCTTTTCCGGGGCTGCGGAGGGCCCCGGGCCTCGTGGGGGTGCTGTGAGGCCGGCGCGGGCCTCGACCTGTGCTGCTGTTTCCTGTCTTGGGGCCTCTCCTGGGCATGGGAACTGCTGTGTTAAAGCAAGCTGCTACTCGAGGCCTTGCTTCTGAGAGGAGATGGGGCCTTTCATGACTTGAGAGGCAGGAAAAACCCCCAGCACTATCCCTTAGTCTTACGATTTCAAGATGGTTTCTTGCTTTTTGGCTCTTCTCTATGTGTTTGCAGCTGGAAGGAGATGCAGAAATGTGGGGTGCTCACTTTTATTTACTTTTTCAAATAGTAAGTACAGCCCTAGCTGCTAAGTGTTTGATTTGAGCTGCAGGACTGAGCTTGAGTTGTGCTGGATGCTCTCTGCCTTGGGGTGCTCCTGTGGGTGGGCTCTTGTGGCCTGCTGCTCAGGCAATGCAGTCTCCTGTATTGCTTTCTTTTGAAACGTTTCCCAGCCTCACCTGACTAAGGAGTGGGGTGGCTTTGCTTTTCCATCTCTGGTGGCCAATGGGAAGAAGTCCCATGTGCTCTTGGCAGTGAGCCCTGTGCCTGAGCATCCTCCTCCCAGGGAAAACTCTGGTGGGATTCAGTTAATGGAGAGACTGTGAGATGGTAACATCTCATCCCTGGGATTGGGGGTTGTCTTCTGACATGGGCTTGTGCCATTGCAAAGTAGAGGCCCTGCAAGGTGTTTCTGAGACAGTTTTGTGAGTGCAGCTGGGCAACAGAGGGAGCGAGGAGGGGACAGGGCTTGTGAAACAGGCCAGAGCACCAGTTCTGTCACTGAATTTGGTCCGTGGGTGTGTGAGTTCAGGCTTGTTGAGAGTCAGCTCTTCAGTCTGAAACCTCATGTATATGGCTTCTGTCCCTTGGCTGCCACACCTTTCGCGTGTGTTTGCTGCACTCATTGTAGCCTCTTTCATGCTTCATGATACCTGTGTGCTGAAGATAAGGAGAGCCTCATCTGTGGTCCTCTTGAGCTTATGCTTGGTTTGAGGGGACCTACGCCACGAAAGATTTCCTAGGAACTTGGTGTCTAACAGGGTGATGTCTTCAGAGCTTTCCTAGCTGATGTTCCCTCTCCAGCTCCAAGTTGACTTGGAGCCCTTCCTTTACATGCAGTATGTGGTCATCCTGCTCATCCTTGTCATTTAACATGTGCTTGCCTGGGCTACTGAGAAGAAGGAATGAATAAAGGAGAAAAGACCTGTGCCCCACCTTCCCTGTCCCTCTCTCAGCACTGAATCGGAGGGCCTTACCAGTGTCAAAAGTTGCCTCTAGATTTCCACAAGCCCTGGGCACGGAGCCCTGAAGCGCAGTTTCAGCCTTGCGGTGCAGGTACCAATGTGGAGAGGGAGAAGGTAACGTGTGTTTCTTGCCTTTAGGGGCTGCTAGAAGCTGCTGGAGAGCAGCTGCTCTCGTGGCGTTGGAGAACTGCTGTAGCGTATGTTCGTTTACAGACACGTGAAAGTTGTGTGCACGTGGGACAGAGGTAAGTTTGCATGTGGAGCTCACGCTTTGGTGTTTTCCTGTTTTCTGGGGCTGTGCAATTCTCTCCAAATGCTCCATCGGAAATGTGTTTGGGGAGGAACTTGGAGCCTGGTAGGGTGCCAGTGCCTTTGCTGAGGGTGGGCAGGTTATATGATCAGACATGCTGCTGGGAGAAGAGCTTTTGGCTGATTGGGTATTAATTAGTTTTGGAGAGAAATATGAAGAACGCAGAATACTATTTTAAGCTTCAGCTTGGCTGAGAGAAGGAAGGAAGGAAATGAGGCCCTGGGGATTAATGAAATGATTTCACTGATGTTTTTGTGGGGCAGTAAGCCCGAAGTCAGAGTGCTTTTGACTTGCTGTACTCAGCTGAGGTCACAGACTTTCACATTTAATCCCTTCTCAGTGCACTGGCTCGGTGGTTTTATGAGGCTAAGCCTCAAGTGACTTTCTCAGCAGACCCTGGCTGAGGGTCTGAGAATGGGATATGAAGCCCCCAGGGTTGCCAGTTCTGCCAGAGCCCCTTGAGCACCTAGATTGGAGCCAGCTGTGCTCTGTATGTGTTGTCCAGCAGCATGGTTATTCCCTCATTGTGGGATGAGGGCTGTTACAGGGAGGAGGCTTAGCCAAGCGGCTTGATACCCACTTGGGGTGGGGAGAGGACACACGTGAAGAAGCTGGAGGGATCTCTGCTCGATAGAGATGTGCTTTAACTTGTTTCACCCCTTGCTCTAACCAGGTCCTGCTGAGGCTGGGAGCGGATGGCTGTGAAGCCTGTGTTATGACTGCCTGAGCTGAGCTGCTTTCATGGGTAAACATAATGCTCTGATCGCCAGAACTATTGCTTCAACATCATTCAGCAGCGCGAAAGCAGCTCTAAAGAAAGCCGATACCCATTAACTTGCTGGGAAGGCCAAGTCAGGAAAAAGGGAAAGGTTGATTACAGGAAGGTGTGATTATACATATATATGTATCACAGGAGAACCAAGTCAGAAAAAGTTCAGCTACTTCAACGTCCAAGTTAAACAAGACACATGTATTAATGAAAATACACCTTCCACAAGCTCCCACACAAAAGTCGGATGTGTCAAGCCCCTGGTTCTGGCTACTACACCCAGGCGTTAGCTGAAAAATGAGGTTTTGTAGCTGCCCTAAGAAGTCACCTCTACAGCTGCAGCAGGGTGAGAGTGGGGATAGAAATTTGGACCTGTCATGTTGTTTGGATGTCATTCACAGCAGTGCAGTACAGTTCTGACAACCTGCTCTGGTTAATCATCTGAATGGGCAAATGTCACAGGAGGCAGGTGTGAGATTTGCCACTTGAGTATGAGCAGGGGAGTTAGAGCTGGAAATGAACCACTGGGTCCTATCCATCTTCTGGTTTTTTTTAAAGCCCTGTGCAACAGAGCTTCTAGCCTTCTGCACAGGAGGCTATTCCCGTTGCTCATAAATCTCACTATCGGGAAGTTGTTTCCAAGATTAAAGCTTAAATGTTTTCCCCTCCGGTTTCATCCCCTGGCTCCCAATTCCCTTCCTACTGTAATCACCAGGTCTCAGTCTCCTCCCAGGGCCTGGTGGTTTAGGAGGATGCCCCTTGGGGGTCTACCCTGCACCAAGGCCCCCTCTAGGCACTGTAACATGTCGCCTCCAAGATGACCTGTGTGGGACATCTTGGACTTGGGCTGAGCTTGTCAAATGGTTCCAAAAGCCTTAGCTGAGCTTTGAGCAGGCGATGGTGTTATAGAGCTTAGAGAAATATCTCTTGCCATAGCTCCCTCCTGGCTGGTTTAAGAGTTACTTGGAGCGCTGGCCTAGCCTTTGGCCTGTGAATAGAATTGTTAAAGGTCATTACGTGGGCAAGGCCTGTGTGGTTTTAGGACAGGCTGTCAATTTGCTCAAAGGAGTGAGCTGACGTTCAGGGTCTGTTGTAGATATTGTACCACCTCTGATAAGAGTGAGCGGAGTGATAGTTCCTGAGGGAAAGTGTAATGAAGAGCCATGGCAAAGAGTCCTGGATTTGCATAATCTGCCAGGTGTGTAGGCAGGAATTGCTAAAGAAGCAAGGAAGGAAATCTGCAGGAAATCTGGGCTCACCGGTGAGAGGGAGGAGTGTGAGATCCCAAATAACTTGGCTGTGGCCCTCAGCCTGTTGTTAGTAAAGCTTGGAGAAGACTGCAAGTCTTTTCATCAGACCCTGAGATAACAAGAAGCCAAGGCATCAGCCATGGGAGAGGCTGACTTCTTGGCAGAGGCTGGTCTGCGAGATGGAAGAGGCAGGGTGTGGCTTTCCCTCGTGCTCGTGGGCATGGGGCTGGGGGAAGGCACCCCGTTAGTCCCTCATTTGGGGACCTCCAGGGGGACTTTTCACACCTAGCTCTTTGATCTCCCCTCTGCTAGCTAGCCAGTCTCTCCCCAGCCATCACCTCCCTCGAGCCTGCTGATCCCAGGGCCAGTCTGGGGCAGCTCCTTGGTTGGGGAAGAGGCTCTGCAGAGCGGTTGCGGTCTTTGATCCTCTCCTATCTCCTGTGGCTGCCCTGGCATTTCCCGGTGCAAGCTGGCTAATCCTA